TCTTCCAGTCCCATTCCTGTCTGGGATTGGCCTGGGTCCCGCGGCACAGAGGTCAACAGCGACGCACACATCAAGGTCAACCTGGGCAGCGCGGAATGCGCACAGGTGGAGGCGTGGGAGGCGTGGAGGTGTGGAGAAGGTCTTCAGTGACGGCCGCTTTTCCAGAACAATCGGCTGGTTGGTGCTTTGAACTCACTGGGGATATGAGCCAGTGAGTTCAATCATCACAAGTAAAGGTTTACAATGATACATATATAATCATATATATATATAATCATATATCATATATAACTACCGGGTCCATCCAATGGGTGTCCAATGCACTACCCTACACTACAGTACTCAAAGATGTGCATTGGACACCCATTGGATGGTCCAGGTGTGTATATATATATATATATCTATGGTACCCCCCCAAAAAAAGATCCTGTTTCATTGATATTTACAATAACAATTGCATATTTTGGGCACATTTTTGTTTTAAGCAACAACAAAAGGTTTTGTGGATATACATTGAATCCTGACAGTTTTGAACATTTGGGAAATTATGGAAATCTCACTTTCCATAATTTGAATAAGTTTCAGGACCATTGAGAACCGCCAGATGGTCCTGAAACTTATGGAAATTATGAAAATTGTCGAGTTCAAAAACTTCCAAAACCATCAGGACTATGAAGACCTTCCCTGTGGTGTGTAAAGCTTTGGATTTATTAGATTTCCATTGGAGTCAATTATATTCATTACTGTTCCACAAGCCGTTTCTCATCATAAAACTAATTAAACTGAATTAAATAAATAAAGTAGTCTCCATACGCAATAAGGTAGGCTCACTGCGTGTACATATTTTGAAAATGTCTTATTCGTTTGTTTTCTTATCACAGACTACCAAAACAAAAAACAAAAAAAACAAAACTCTGAGGAGAATCCTTGGTTTCAGCCTGAAAGATGTTTTTTGGGTTTTAAACATTCAGCATAATAAAATATTCTGAACATATTTTAAATATTGAACTAATTTTAATTTGCATGTTTCAAATACTGAAAAATATGTTGCCTATTAACACAAAATGATTGCATCCAAGGCTAAGGTGTTTTTTTTGTGTGGGGGGGGGGCGGTAGCATATATATGAAACGGCCACCCAGATGAACACTTTCTGAGGAGCTAGTGTCAAGATTTCATGGTAGCATTCGACCGACGGGGACAACTAGTGGCAAGAAAGGTCTTGCTAAACAGTCATGTGAAGCGAGGTGAACACAAGCGGTTCCAAGTTTGTGTATATATATATATGTCTCAACCACGTCACTCCTTCCAATGAACCTCCTTCCAAGCCAAAGGAATGGCCGGCATGTGACCGGCCCTCCTCCCCCTCCTGGGCCATTCTGAGGTCCTGGACTCCCACAGTGCTGGATCGCTCAGCGCTGAATCGCCATCGCTGGTCCCGGCCTTGGTCCGCCGGTGGAGACCGCCCCACCTAGACCTGTGCAGACCTGGCCATATTCGTGGGTTTTGGAGGTGCATCATTAGTAGCTCAGCTGCCATTAGGAAAAGCAAAACACGTGAAATCGGTTTGAACAAACCTGGTGCAAGTGCAAATGGGTCCTTTTGTTCAGTCCCTAGGCGAAAACCAAGGTCTCCCGGTTTGACCTGCCATGTTCGCCGCTTAGCCTGTGAAGGTGAAGCACTCCAACAGTCCCCTGGCCCGGACCCACATGTCTGCTGGAAATGATTGAAGCTCCAGGACACAAGTCCAAAAGGTCCTGTGCCAGCCCTACCTGTAAGGTCTTGTGCCAGGTCTTGCCACAAGACTGTGTTACTTCTCTAGCGCTCCAGGTACACTACGACCTATCCCCCCCCAAAAAAAGGCGAATGCAGAATTCAGAATGGGTCACGAGTGACTGAAACAATCGGTCGAAGTGCTGAACGGGTGAGATCCTGAGTGGTGCTACACATGACCCAAGGCGACCCGCAGGTGACGGTGCGAACCGCGAGTTTTCGCAGGTGCTGGCGAACCCTGAGTCAGGATGGTGCGAATGTAATTCTAGGTCAAGAAATCGAGGGTTATTGCTTGATCAGGGAGCTCGCTGTTGACTGAGTTTACAGCCCAACATGGGCCGTATCAAACAGACCGCAAGTCGCGCTATTGCTATTTCTCAGGCACGTTTTCTCAGGCACGATACTGCACCATTGCCACGCATGGCCACACGGTGGTGCAGCACTGGAGTTCGATTTGGTGCACACCAGGTCTGCCATCCACAGCCATGTGCACTGCACGATCGGCTTCGAGGGTTCCGAATCATTCAGACATGGCTACTAGCTACAAGTCTTGGCATCTCCCGTCAGCCACCTCAAAGGGGATCTGAAATCTGAAGCTCTATATTACTCTATATATATATATATACCCTGGGAGTCAAAGACTATAAAAAGAATTGTCTTTAGGGGAACTGAAAGGGAACTTCCTTTACTCCAGCCGGTCAAAAATATAGTCTTTTTGGACTTCTAGGGTATATATATTCAGCCTATGAATCACCAAGCATCAGCCACACTGACTCCCGGAATACCACCACTTTTCAAACTCAAAGGTTCACAGCTGGAATTGATGCCTTTTCATCAAACCAGTCCAAGGGCAAACATGTTGCAGTTGGAAGATCTGGCATATGTGAACCTCCAAACGTTCCACCTCTTCAACGGTGGGGTTTCCCGAAAGCAGCCTCCAGAAAAAAAAAAAAAAAAACAAGGTCTCACGACCCGGACGGAAAAACCCCAGGCGAAACTGTTGACTCGGCCATGTTGATGCAAGTAGACTCGACTTGAGTCCCTGTAGACCGAACGTTTCAGAAACATGGAACATGGACAACAAAATGAGAAAAAAAACAACACCTGCCAGCAGTCACAAGACGGGGAACTTGGAGGAAGTCGGGGTGCCCCCTGTCACATCCACGGCCCCTGGATGGGACGAGGCAAACCATCCAACTCCATGTCACTCCTTGTGTATTTGGTTCATTCAGGGACCCTAGAAGTCCAAAGACTATATTTTGACCGACTGAAGTAAAGGATAGTGCCTTTCGGGTCACCTAGTCAGACCATTCTTTTTATAGTCGACTTGACTAGGGGGGGTGTAAATAGGGCTTTTAATCCGAACTTTCGGGGCGGTTTCAGATCCTCGGGGGCAGTGTGAGCATGCTCCTTCACATGCTAAGCAGAGCAACGAGCGCTCCGTAGACGTAGACCAAGTCGTGACGAGAATGTCCGACGTAACTGTTTTATAACTCGAGTAATCCCATTTTGGTCAATCAATGGCAGGCATTCCGCTCTTCATAGACTTGTCATATCCCTTCATCATCGCATCTTGACACTGGCTGCGTGACTCTTCAAACATGGTGATCTGTTTTAATTAATATTCAAGTGCAGTGTCCTGCCAAAGTGCAGGGTCATTCTATTTCTCCCTCACGAATTGTCAAATTGTCACATTCATCAACATGAATCACCCCTCGTCACCCCAAAAGTCCAATCAAATGAACTGCAATCATTGGCACCCCAAGAAGTCATCATCCGCAACATGAATCACCCCTCGTCACCCAAAAAAGTCCAATCAAATGAACTGCAATCAATTGCACCAAATTCACCACCAACAAAGGTTGAAGAACCCTATAGGCTATCCCAGTTGGGTACCTTTATATATATATAGGCTATCCCAGTTGGGTACCCCAGGTTTTCCGGTCCTGGTTCAGGTCACTGGCTACCTCTGTTGCCAGGGAGCCTCAGGAAGTCATCCAAATGAGACCCCAACACCCTGTGGTTGCCGCCGCCTGGTCGGTAGACATAGAGAAACATCTCCAACAAAAACCACCGGGTTACAGGTTTCTGCAATTGAAGTCCGAACTACTGTGATTCTCATCAAATTCATCAAACAACTGGGGAGAAATTCTGTGACCCTTCCGAAAAGCACCAGAGCCTGGCCCATTCTGGCCCAAATCTGTCTGGCGACTCCCAAAGCGAAGAAGAACTTCACCGGGTTGCGATCTGAATTGAAATCTGAGTAACAGCTTTCAGAGTCCGGAGCTGCTTTTCCTCTGCCAGCAATGTGGGGACGTGATTTCGTCACGAGGCTGGGAAGGCTGGGTCTGGGAAGTTCTAAGAACAAATCGACCAAATCGAGAGAGGTCAAGTGACCTTATAGGACCCTACTCGGGTACCTATGGGACAGGCTATAGGGTCCTTCAACCTCTGTTGGAATCGAGAACATCGACAAGGGTCCAAGGGTTGTGCTGTCCTGCCATCTTGGGACTCTGTGACCATTTCTGGCCGGGTGCTCCAGCTAGCCTTTTGTTCGGCCAGTGGAGAGGACTTAGATGTATTGATGGAGGGATGGTCCTCCTGTCAAGCAAAGGTGGGACGCAACCCCATGCGACCCGGTTGACCCGGTGCATGGACTTGTCAAACATTTGTCATGCAATGATTCCCTCTCGTTGGCGCCTGCGGCAGCTCGGTCAAACCGAAAACACGAGTCTTGACTCGGCGTTGACCATCCCTCTGGTCGAGTCAGTGGATTTTCCTTTCGAAGATCTCATCTCTGGTGCTCCTGAAGTGTCTTTTCAGGTCATAAGGGAAATCCAGGAACCCGGAAGTTCCTATTTCCTTTCAAACTCATTCAATTTGGGATTGGCGTGCAGGGCTCACACCACAAGGAAAGCCAAAACAAAGGGCAATGCATAGAAAGGCCTACGAATGGACGCATTCCTTGATACTGAATCTGACCATCCATTATCATCCATTGGCTTAGCAATCTCCGCACGCCTTTCCGTCATTTCTTAAACACCTTCAAACGCTTCAAACCGCTTCGAACCTGGTTTGGGTGGCAAGGCGGGAGCGGACCTAGTCGGAACCCATGTGACCCGGTGCGGTCGGACCCGAGCGACCTTGACCTAGTTCTCCCACATGTCTCTCTCCCATGATTCCGCAGGCTGGAAAACAAGCAGGAAAGAATCCATTTCGCATCAAAGGAGCAACCATCATCCTTCCCCCTGCCACCCACACCAGGCCAAGCCAACACAAACTGCACTGTGGCCATGGCCGGGATCTGGAAGTACAACTTTTTGTGAACCAACCAGCAATCCGAATCAGAACAGGGAAAAGGCACAAAAATTGACTTCTCTCTCTCTCTCACTGCTTCTGGAACCGTTCCATGGTCCATACATGTCCAGTCGCGTCGAGGTCTCCAATTCTACTCTCCCTCAATAAATCAACCAGGTCGGCTCGGTGCTCAACTTGCAGCTCGCCTGAGGCAGGGAGGTTTTAGACTCAGAATGACTCAGACATCTTGCCTCTCAGACTCAAAATGTGAACACAAAATGGTTTCGTGTTGGGCGTGTTGGGACCCTGGGTTCAAGAGGCTTCAAGTACCTGGTGGACATGGGTGTGGGTTGGACCCCATTCCGCCCCCCCCATGTACCAGGACACTGCAACAGGTGGATTTTGGACACCTCTGCCTCTTAACCTCTAATGAAGGCTATTGATCGACACCTCAAATGAAGGGTCTTTGGGAGTCACCTTTTCAGCAAGAGGCGGTGACTGTTTGAGGTGGCAGAGGCTGACAACTAGCAGGGGCCATGCACCAACTGCGATGTACAGGTCGAAGAATACCTCCCCGCCCCAATGAGCCGTTGTGGGGCAAATCGACCCGTTTCTTTCCCTCGTGGCGAGGCCGTGCATCAACCCCACTCGGGCACTCAGGACATTACTTGGGAAAGAATGAGCCAACTCGGTCAGTGGTCCGCAAGCATGCGGCCAGATGTTGAAGAGATTCTTTTTCAAACTGAACTCCAAGGTGAACACCACCTCTCCCATCCTCTCCTTTCTTCACCAACCTGCTGGCATCGAGTGTCCCGCCCCCCCCGGCCCTCAGCCCTTAAGCCGGGGCTCCATGGCTCGATCCCAGGTGCCCAAGCGGCAGGCTTCGTCCCACCAAGCGCTGCTGTCGCGCACGATGGATGCGAAGGAGCGGCGCGTCTCAGAGGGCAGCCTGAGCGGCGTGCAGAGGGGGGGAGGGGACATGTCAACAGGAGACAAACGGTTGACGGTTGGATCATGTGGCACATTCAAAGGAATGAGCCACTGAGACATGTCCAAAATACCGCCGCTAGCTCCCGGAGGGTTAGGAGCCCCAAATATTTTGGGTAGCCAGCCACCAAGTAGTGACTTTATTGGGGGTGGCCAACGTTGGGCAGGTGCAGGTGTGATACCTCAGATCCACTTTAAAAACAAGTATCCCAGCAAGAGAACCCAAGCAGTGTGTGAAAGTCTAGAAATCTAGACGCATTGCGGTCCAGAGAGGTATGGTGGTGACTGCTGCGCCTGCCACGAAATCTGCACTTGAAGACTCACAAAGTGCTGTGCCTGCCACGAAATCTGCCCTTCGAACAAAGCGCTGCGCCTACCACGAAAACTGCACTTCGAGGTTTACAAAGTGCTGCACCTGCCACAAAAACTGCACTTCGAGGTTCGCAGACTGCTGCGTCTGCCACGAAATCTGCACTTCAAGGTTGACAAAGTGCTGCGCCTGCCACGAAATCTGCACTTCGGAGTTCACAAAGTGCTGCGCCTGCCCAATCTGCACTTCAAGATTCACATCCGGCAGCCCTGACAAGGCGTTTCACCGCAAGAAGGCTTCCAAAGACGACATACAATACAGATATAGTACCAAAAGGCAGCTTTCGCGCGCGACTTCCTGAAAATGAGCCACATGTAGAAAAAGTCACTATGATTTATTGCACCTGTCACGAAATTAGAGCGCGTCGAAGATCACCACCTAACCTGCACACCTAACCGCTCCGATCCCTTGCACCTGTCACGAAAGTCGACTTTGGACCACCAAAGCAGGAGGGTTCCTTTGAGCCTGCCATGAAAAATGACCACCATGTCCGAAAATGTGCGCGGCACCACAACGAGAGCGTAGTCGCCACAAGCACCCGCCGCGCCCCACTAGATTTTGCGAGCCTGCGCAGTCGAAATGCACTTCCAAGATTTGGAGAGGCATGACCGTACTAGTAAATAGCAGCGAATTAGCCAAACGCCCCGTTGCAACACCTCGATTAAACACCGACCCTGAACTCTTACCGTAAGAACCCCTCAGTGTGACCACACTGTTTCGGGAACAACGCTTGTAGGGTTTCCAGGAGCTCTCAACGTTGGGCTCCTGAACAAGTGACGAGCAAAAAAACAAGAGAAGAACCTACAGTATGTCCCAATAAGGCACAAAAAAGCAACGGAACATCTCAGGTGACAATGAAATTTATAGGTGCCAACCCTAGAACCAGATTGACATTCTTTAGGCCAAAATGCACTTATTTTATCTTCACTGCTCCACCCCAAGCTACCCCACATTGGCACAAGCACCCAGGAAGGCAAACCAAAGGCACAGTAGCAAAAGAACATATTGTATGACAATTAAATCTCTCTATCTATATATATATCTCTATAGTATCTATATGTGCCAACCCTGGAACCAGATTGAAGATCTTAAAGTCAGAGTGCACTCATTTCAGTACTCCACCCAGACCATCCTCACAAAGGGCCGGCACACAACCCCAGGAAAAAACTCAAGGCACAATAGCAAAAAAGCAATACTACTTTTTATAGGAGCCAACCCTAGAACCAAATTGAAGTTTCAAAAGCAACTGTAAAGAGGTGTCCAACTTGTCCAAAATCATATGAGGAAATCATATGAGGTTGCGTCAATAAATTTATGGGGTCCAACCTCTGGTTTAGGAGGCCATCGCTTTAAAAAGATCTGTGACCAACCCCCTGTACCTCCGTGTGCAGCAGCCTGGGTAGCCAAGGTAGGCTGTCACTAAATTGATCTGCCACAAAATTTCACTAATGATCACTAATGGAGGTGCCCTGCAATGCAAACCTGCAAGCCATGAGGCCAGGCCATGCGTGATCTAGTCAAACCCACTTGGCGATACAAGGTGTGACACTGGGAGTGAGTGTCACCCACCTGCCTGCTCTCAACCCACCTGCCCAAACGAAACGACACCCATCGGTTTCGGCGAACGCAAAACTCACAGCTGTCAACCACACTCTCCGCTAAATAGCTAACCCCCTTTCAGTTCTACTACCAACTGAGGATCCAAGTGCGTTTCTTCTCTTGTCCTCTCACAAACTCCAAGGATAGATCCGCCACACGTCCCTGACCCTGGATCCTTCTCCTCCGACGAATGTGAATCGCCACGGGCCGCGGGCCGCCAGGTGACCACTTTTTGTGACAAACGCCCAAGCCAGAATACAAGCTGCAGCGCACCAGCACCGGTGGTCGAACATGCAAATGAAGCCTCTGAATCATCTCCTCCCACCGACGTTCGCCTAGGCATTCACATGCGCAGAGCGGGAAGAACAGGGACAAAGAAACCGCCGCGGTAGACTGGTCACTGGCAAACGGGAAAAACCATCTGCACATCCGCCAGAACGAACACGGTCTGCCCACCCGGTGGATGGCTGCCCTTCTTTGATCCCCTGCCTGGTGGTTGCCTTCTTCTTTGGATCCCCTTCACCCGCCACATCGAGGAAAGCTCCGAGCGACACACGAAGACCAGGAGCGCGTGGCACCAGTTCTGGCGCTGCGCCACTTCCAAAGCCTGAGGCAGAACTGGCAAGAGAGGTAGCCAGTGACCTGAACTAGGACCCGGAAAACCTGGAATACCTATGGGACAGTCGAACTAGGGTCCTTCAACCTCTGTTGGTGGCTCGCTGACATTCCTTTTTTGGGCGTTGGGCCCCGAGGCAAGGCAAGCGGAACGCGCAAGCGAGCAAACGTTTTAACAAAAAAATGCGCCTGAAGGCAAAACCGTTGAAAAGCGAACTTCGGAATGGAGCTTCATGGTCACTGATCCCTACAGGTCCAAAGACTCAGTAAAGCCTGGTCCTTTTTCATCGAGTAGTGCTTTTGCATAATAAACTTCGGCAACATATCCCTACCCCTTAGCAGGGGGGGAACCTCAAAAAATGTAACTTACAATTTCCCCTAACTATAGACCTAACAAAAATGTCTATGGTTAGGGGGGGTGGGGATGGTGAGGTCTTTGACCGGGTATGGCCACGTTACTGGCGGGTCGGTCTTGGTCCAAAAGGTTCGTCAGGGTCACCTCGCAAGTGGCTCCCATTCAGTGGCTCCCATTAAGTCGCCTCGGTTCTGCAACAATTGGCAGTGAAACAGTAGACTGTGACTGGTTGGCTCGAGTGTTTCTTGTTTTGTGTTGTTTTGTAGAGGTCACTGTCACTGCCATACATGAATAATTCATGAATTACTGCTCTGCGTCGGCGCAAAGCTACTATTTACTGTACTGCTTTGTGCGTTGGTGCAAGAAAACTGAAAAGCAACATTACTGTGGTTTCAGAGTAAATGGCACAGACCCCAAGATGTCCTTCAGATGGTCCATATAAACCACCTTTTAGGGATTGTGCATCTACTCTCAACCCGCTATAGCTGTGCGGGGCTGAGCTGTTGTCGTAGTGAAAAGCGGGTTCCTGCACTGGCTTAGTTCTTTCCACTTGGAGAGCCCCAATTCGGCCGCTTCTCAAGCGGGACTGCCAGGGTGGATCTGCCAGGTTCTGCCATGGTGGGTGCCGTGGTGGGAAGATGCATCATCAGGGTCTTGAAAGCCACCCGAAGTGCTGGCAAAGTGCTGGCAAAAAGGCCAACCCTCGATGTGGACCCGTTCGACTAATATATATAATATATGTATTGGGCGCCACCAAGAAAGGCAATTCCTTTTGGGGTCATCCTTGAATAGTCTTGGACTTCCAGTGTCTATATTGCTTTAAATAGGGAGACCCTCCAAAAAAGCTGCCAAGAAGGGAACATTGACCCAGTCTACCCATTGATTGGGTGGGGGCTCCACTGATTGAATTTTATAATGCACATGCAACTGAAATATCCCAGCAGTCACAGAGCTCGGGGTGGTGTGGCTCGTCCCATCCACTGAGTGGATGCTGTGGGCCCTAACCAGCAGTTACCATAGCACCCCGCATGGTGACTGCTGGTCCGTGACTGCACCACGTTGGGTTCGAGGGCAAGGGCGGTCCGAAGCCGCTCGGATTCACCACTGCACGGACCCGACACGGTCGGTGTACAACATCGGTCCGGCCTAGCGATGTTTAGTCCAGGAAGATGAGATGTTCCACATGGTCTGACGATGTCTGACCCCAAACATTTGGAACTGAACTGGTTGGTGGGTTCAACTCACTTACGAAACATCTGTGTCAGTGGGTTCAATCATTTCAAGTTAGATGTTGAACATGTTTGAACATCAACATATCTGAAAACCACCCAGAATTTTCCTGAAACCTTTGGTGGTGCCGTGCCCAAAGATCGTCGAACATCGTCGAACTGAACGAACAAGGTCTAGGTCTGTAGGAGGCTTGGGTCAGATCCAAAGGTTCCACTCCTAAGACCCTCAGTTGGGGAGTCCCCACCTCGTTGGTGGACGTGGTTCCTCAAAGTTCCTCACCAAAAGCTTCACGTGCTTCCTCTTGGATTTCCCAGAAAAGCAAAGAAAACCCCACACACGAAGTTCTGATACACCCAACACACGCCTGCCGCAGCTCTCCGAAGTTCTTGGCTTCAGTGACTTTGCAGCCCAGGGATGAAGCATGCCGAACGCAAACACACCTGAAGCACATGAGGCTTCCAATCAAGCCCGCGCCTTGCAAATTCCACAGGACCCGAACGGGGCCACTGACACTCCAACCGAGGTGGGTCAGGACCCGTAGTTCGCCTATCCCAGTTGGGTAATGCAGGTGACGGTCCCGACGTTCAGGTCACTGGCTACCTCTCTTGGATACGCAACTCCCAGTCTTGGGATGACTCCCTCCCATGTGCCCAAAGGAAACACCAAACAAAACAACGATGCTCAGTCTGCCCAATGCCTTTCCCCTTTTTCTTCTGCATTCAACTTTACAACTTGCATGTGGACATCTGTAGACACCCTCACTGTCAGTTCAGGGTTCCTCAACAAGTCGGCATGTAGAGTCGGCACAGCAAGGTGTAATAAGTGTAGGATCGGTTCCTGGTCAGCTCTGAGCAGGTCTCCTCACCTGGTGATCTCCTCGCTCGCCCCCACGATGACCTCCGGCATGACCAAATCCTCGCCGTCGCCCGGCATGACCTCCTCGCGCGCTCGAAGCCGGGGTGTGAACACCCAAGGGATGCCAAGGGGGATTGATATGGACCCTGGGAAGCATCAAAAAATCACCTCCGCCCCAAATCACAGATCCTCCCCCTCCTTCGGGGATGCTGAATCCTCGGTACTTCCACGGCGGCGGACCGGGGAGGAAGGCGGTGACGACAGGCCCAGCTTCAAAGCGTAGCAATTCCTGGGCGGGCTGTGCCAGGTGATCCAGCGTTTAGGGTGAACAATTCCCAGATGCGACTAGTGGGATCGCCATATATGGCAGTCTCATTAGTCGCGTCTGGGATTGGATGGCCGCCACCGAGAAGGACGGATTTGTGAGTGGTGAGCGTACTCAAACCGTGACTCTGTGCCGTGCACTCTCTCTCTCTCACTTGCAAGCTATAGTCCCAAGCAAGGGAAACTATAAGTGTTTTCTTTCTGATTTCGAGACGAACCCACAGAATGCACTTGAAGCATGAAGAAAAGAAAAGTCACAGTTTCCAACTGGCAAACGTTTCTGATTTTTGTCCACATGCACAATCCATTGAGGATACATATATGTATACTTGTCTACGCACTATGACAAGAAGCAAACATATTGCCAAAATGCAGCTAGCAACACAACCTAGCAAATCATAGCACAAAGCAAACACAACTTTAAACAGGTGGTTGAAGAAACCCTAGGGCTCCTGGCCCATCTCCTCAGGAGGTGGTTAGACCCCCCAAACCGACCCCAAACCGACCTGCTCATAATCATTTGTACCAAGGTGACCGGCGCGAGTAGCGCATCACTGCTTCAAGGCCTCTCCTCGGCTCGTGACTGGTGCTGAAAGCGGGGGTTTTGGCACGGTTCTAACACGACACGACCTGATTTCCAGTAGTTGCACATGTGGTGCCTATTGGAAGAAACTGGGTCTCCATTCATGAATTTAGGGACTCAGCAATCTGCGGGACTTTGACCACCATGGTTTGAATCCACAGTTGTTTCCTTTGGGGGAAGGGCTTCAGGTGGCACCGAGCTTTTGCAACCGAAGTGCTGCAGCCGACCCATCGACCCCATGATTTCAGCTCCATTCTTCCGGCATGTTCCAAGCTTCCTCTGAAACCTTATTTTTTGTTAGATGGGTCGCCTACGTTCACTCGAAGCTCAAGAAATGTGCTGCCAGCCCCCACTCGCCTCTTTTTTGGCCGCTCGCCGGCAGGTCCCAAAAGCAAACATCCATCAGGATGATGTGGGGGTGGAGAGTTCTGTGAGGTTCTTCCATGTTCTTCCACTGCTTGGGAAGAAGCACTAGCATTGGGCGACGCCACATGCTCGAGCCTCTGAACCTCTAAACCAAGGCTCCAAAACTCCAGCGACTCCACGCGTGGCTCCAGAACGCTTGAGAAGCCATGCGCCATGGGCATCCACGAGTTCCTGGGCGCCTGGGAACCTCGGAACCTCGGCACCGACACCGACTCGTTCGGCGCTCCCTGACCCGTCGACGCGACTAGTGGGACTGCCATAGGACTGCCGATCAATTGACCCCTGGTCAACCACCCCAACTGATCGCCATAGATGGCATACATTTCAGCCTCTGGGTGAGTGGTTCGGGGGTCGGCTCCGAGCGCGGAGCCGCGGCTGGGGCTACGATGTTGTCTGCTTGGAGGTCGAAATCGTCGTGTGTCGAGAAATCGAGCCGGACACGTCGTGGGGATGAATAGTATAGCTGCTGGGGAAGAATGGGCGATCTTGCATCATGACATGACATCGATCATATTTATATAGAAAGAATCGCAAATGTGCCTTTATGTCAAGGGATGTTAAAGGTCCAGGTTGCATTTGTAAGCCCAATTGCCTTTGGCTTAAAGGGTAGCTACGGCAAGAAGACCGAAAGGGAGCTGGTCACCATGTCGAACCTGCTCCTGCTCCTGAGCTGAACATCTGTACATATGTTGTAGCACAGGGGTCTAGCGCGGTCTAGCAACAGTTTCTGGTGAAGGTTCGCTTTTCTATCTATATATATCTAACCTATCCAGAAACCTTATGAAGGTCCATTTTCTAGATGAAGGTTCGATTATATCCATTATAACTATATCGAGCTCTTCATCGCACCGATGCGCCACGCCGTCACGATGGGCCTGGTTCTGCCTTAGTGCCGTGGTCTCACCATGTATCACCCACCATCTCCCTGAAGCGTCCACGTCAATCCAGTCGTCCGTCCATGGGTTTTTCACATGAGGTGAAAGAACAGAAGAAACACTCAAACATATCCAGCATATGCCTTGGGCCTATCCTATTACCAGGGCCGTGTGGATGATGGGTAGGTTGCAGGCCGACAGTTCAACAATAGTGATGTTCTTGTTTACCGACTGCTACTAAGCTGCTGCCGGCTTCCTAGGACAAACCCAACATATGCCCATCGAAACTAGCAGGTCCGGCAAATCCTTTCCGCTTGGCGTCGGTGCCGTCTGGTGATGTCTGCTTTCACCGTGAAAAAGTACTTGAAGTCAGGTATTAATTATACTGGCATACCCATCCCTAGGATTCCACCCACCATTGATTTGGTTACTATGATTTCATAGGCTTTCCCGAACAACCATTGATTACCGCACTACAAAACCAGCACAACCGAACTCGGTATGTGAAGGCGGCCTGGGCTGATGTCAGTTTTCTAGCAACTTCGTTCCTTCCTCTACACCCCTGCGCAGCACCCCCTGCAGCCAAGAGAACAAAACTCACGATTGCCACTAAACGCTTCTCCCGAAGGACTTGAGCAGCCGCATAAGCGGTTGGGGGGTTGGGAGGCCTGACAAAAACTGGCGTGTTCCAATCTCCTGCAAACCAGCTTTTCTTGGATTGGATGTCCAGGAACCGGACCATATTTTCGAAATGGAATGACCAGGATATTCCCGGTGCCAGAGATTCATCTCTTGAGTCTCCAAGTTGGGGGTCTCCAAGTTGGCTCACCCTCCATGTATGGAAGACCTTGACCCCTCAAATGACGAGATGTAGGCAAGTCCATGCCAGTCCCATCAAGTGGGACCTCAAAAAGAAGGCCTCAAAAAAACAAGAAGGACATTCCAACTCGTTGTCTTCTCTCACAGGTTCAATGCCTTTCCTCTTGACCTCAGCAGGGGAAAAAACAAACGTGCACACTTGTTGCTGTCGCTGTCGATGTCGATTCACACCGCCCTCTCACAGTAAATCAAATATCCTCTTCTCATCCCATACGGTCCATACGCACCTGCCACCAGCCCGGTGACCCTACTGACCTACTGATTCACCTGGGGTCTTCAGTGGCCGGTAGACCCCACCTCCATAAGCCACGTTGTGGAGTCGGAGGGTAGTTCTTGATCCAAGTTCCAAACCAGGCTTTTGGATAGGGAAAGACCAGTGAGCAGGATTGTTTTTGTGGGGCGGTTGGTGGTTTCAACCTCTTTCATGAACGATTCATATGCGTCAGTGGGATGATTGGCATCCGAAGATGATTTTCCTCTGACTCACTAAGATGGAAGTGGAAAACCACCTGTTTTGTAGAACAAAAACACGTCATCCCACAGGCAATGTTCATCCATTTTCCGCTTCCAATGTTAGTGAGTCAGAGTGTTAAAAAAAATAGAAGAGCGACATGGCAAAGCGTGTCGAACGATTGTGCGCTGGTCCCTGGTACGCTGCGGTCGCGCTGGTGACGCCGATTAACAGCTATGATGCCGATTTCGCTGGCTAAAAGAAATACCCACCCACCTGAAACCACCCCCGCTGAAGTCCCCTCCCTCGGGCTCAGCTTGCCCGCTTCATGGTGCCCGGTGGTCCAGAGCCTGGGATGGGACTTGCCGCAGCGGACGACGAAGAACAACGACTGGGGACGTCCACCGAGAAACGGCCAGGGGTGGTGCCAGGGGGGGGTCAATGTAGGCATACTTGTAGGCAAAAATTCAATACATGGAGCATCATGGAGTGTATGGGCATTGAAATTCCAGACACGACGAATGGGACTGCCATAGGACTGCCGCACCAGACAGATCCCTTCTCAACCACCCCTGGCCTGATCGGCATATATATATATATATATATACTGCCTACTGGTGAGTTAGGACTTTGAGTCTCCAAAGAGTTAGGAGTTGTGCAGCACAAGGCCTAACTCATGAGGCCAAATGGAACCCCGCCATTTCAGAACAGCCAGATGTGAGACAGGAGTAACATACCGCAGAATGCCAACAAGTCCCAACTCATGCTGCATGCACATCTCCAAAGACACCAGGTTTTGAGACGGCTAACCCCCCAAAAAGAAAGTGCACAATCGTGTGAAATCTGTCACAGAGAAACACCAGTTGTGAAAAAGTCACCTTTTATCTCACGTCGTGCCGCCCACGCGCCTAAACAACCATAATGTAGCCATGCACAGACATCCAAGGACATGAATCAAAGGACATGCTAGGACATGGACTGGTAGCAGCACAAGTCCTATCTCATGTGTTGGCATCCGGCCACACATGCCCTGGGCACACCATTTTTGTTTAACATGTTTTGCCTTGCTAGGCTTTATGAGATAGGAGTTGTGGACCAAACACTTGTCAAAAAGTACTTTTCTTCATGAGATGGGACATTGATTTTTTGGCATACGTCCGACAAGTCCTAAGTCACTGGTGAGTAGTATATATATAAGCCACCTCACTGTTAGTTGATGTTTTCATTTCTATTTGGAGTTTTCACCTTGCCCTTGCTTCCAGGGTAACACCCCTGAACTCCACTACACTACATTGATGTTTGTATTGAGGTGATGGGGTGAGGAATGGGATGGGTGGATGTATGTGAGAGTTTGTCTTAGGCAGGACCTCTTGCAAAAGAGGAACGCGCCGAAAGATGCAAAGTTGTGGTGGTTTTCATTGTTCGGTCGGCTTTTTTTGGGTTTGCGGCTTTTGGGTTTGATGTGTTGACTGAATGGGTTGCATAGCACCTCTTGAGAAAGAGGAATGCTCTGCAAGGTGCACACTGAAGTTTGGTTTCAAGCTCTATGGCACACTGAACACTAGGATTTGGTTATTATCCACCCTAGCCTAGAAAACAATCTTGATCAGGCCCAAGTTCATGATGTTGATCTTCATGTCTTTTAATTACGATGTTGCGGCGATGGTGAGAAGCGTGGGCTTGCACTTCGATTGGTGTGGCTTGGCTGTTGCATTGTGCACTGTATGCTGTGCCTTGGACTTACTACACTAAGATTTGATGCAGTAAGTGACAACTTGTAGTAGTGGACCACTCTTCAAATTCCAGGAGTTGAACGCCTTCTAATCTGGAGCAACTGATTGTTTAGTGTGTGAGAACCATTGTTCCATGTGCTTTGTTTCAGTTTCCTTTGTCAACCAGTTTCTGGAATTCCAGAAGCTGGACCAACTCCATGGAATTTGCAGGAGTTGTGCAATGAAGCTTTTCCAAAGAACATACTGACCGAACGATGGAAACTTGTGTGACCGAACGACAAACAACTTGTTGACCGAACGCAAAAAACTTGTGTATGGCCACTGGCAGTTCCCGAACGACAAACCTAGGAGTGACCGAACGACAGATCTCAGAGCTTACCCTGCCATCTGAGGGGGGTAGCTGTCAACCCCTCAGATGGCATCGTCACTTGAAGTGACCGTGCCATCTGAGGGGGGTAAGCACTTCCTGGCTGACAATGAATTTCGCTGTCAGGTACACCAAAACCCCCCTCAAATGGCAGGGTCACTTGAGGTGACCGTGCCATCTGAGCCCCTCAGATGGAAGGGTACACTAATGCTAGTGAACAGTGACAAGGTTTTTATAAACCAAACAGTGTGCCCTGTGTTAATCCTATCAATGGAAAGATTTTTATATACTAAATAGTGCACCGTGTGTTAATGAAATGAATGGAAAGATTATACAGTAAACCAAATAGCTCACCCGGGGATAATGCTTTCCGTGAAAAGATGTATAAAGAAACAAAACGCTCACCTTGTGATCAAAGGGTTTTACTACTATGAACCCCTCAGATGGCAGGGTAGACTAAGCTTGCAAGAGAATGTCTTTGATGTCATTGATCAAGATCATGTCTTTGATGTTCATGTCGCTGACCAAGATGATGAACAATGGTATGGTCATGATGGCAGCCTTGATGTTCAAGGTCTTCAATGAGAAGAGAAGTATAGAGGTGCTTGTAGTGTTTTTCATTCATGATGATGACCCACAAGAAGATCAGCATCATGATCTTAAACCTGATTGACATTCTTGTTAAATGATGTTCATGCTGCCGATCACGTTGACGGAAAACAGCCTGGAACAAAATGTTCAATGTTGAAGCGTAGTAAAAACATGAAGGTCACGATCATGAACTTGGACCTGATCAAGACTGTTTTCTGATGATGATCATGCTGGTGTTCAAGGTGATGAAAAGCAGTGTAACAGTGTGGAACAAGGCTTTAGTTTTGACGGATGATGAAAGCATTGTGGTCTTAATGGTGGCCTTGATGATGAACAAGGTTTTGATCTTGAAGACAACCACAGTGGTGCTTGTAATGATGTTCATTTATGATGATATATTTTGACGAAGATCAAGATCATGTCTTTTATGTTTATATTCATGACCAAGATGATGAATAATCGTATGATCATGATGGCAGCCTTGGTGTCGAACAAGGTCTTCAATGGTGAAGAGAAGTAAAAAATGGTGCTGTAGTGTTTTTTTCATTCATGATGACGACCCACAAGAAGATCGGCGTCATGATCTTAAACCTGATCGATATTCTTTTCTTTGATGATGTTCATGCTGGTGATCGCGTTGACGAAAAACAGTCTGGAACAAGATGTTCAGTGTTGAAGCGTAGTAAAAACATGAAGGTCACAATCATGAACTTGGACCTGATCAAGACTGTTTTCTGATGATGATCATGTTGGTGTTCAAGGTGATGAAAAGCAGTGTAACAGTGTGGAACAAGGCTTTGGTTTTGAAGGATGATGAAAGCATTGTGGTCTTAATGATGAACAAGGTTTTGATCTTGAAGACAACCACAGTGGTGTTTGTAATGATCCCCAGCAAGGTGAAAACTCCAAATGCAAATGAAAACATCAACTAACAGTGAGGTGGCTTATATATATATATGATTATATATGGCAGTCCCATTGGTTGTGTCTGGGAATAGTTGATCCGGCTTTGTATTGGTAAAATCCTTTAGTCAAACATTGGTGGTTCAACTTCTAATTAGTAGCCTTTCCAACCTTGGATTGGCTCTCCAGGAGCTGTCCGAAAAAACCGACCAATTCTTCCATAAACATCCCTTATCACCGCGAAAGCGGCCCATCACCCCAGAAAGCCCCGCTTTCGCGGCCGAACTCCGGGCGCCGCAGCCTCCCGAACCCGCCGCTGGAGGCCCAAGTCACGTCAAGCTCCAACGGCACAAGCGTTGGACCTCGGCACGGCACGGGGAGCAGCACTGGAGCACCGTGGAGCTCTCACCAGTGCGGAGCAGACCTGCAGACTCCAAGAGTCCAAGAGAAGTTCAGTGACCTGAACGTCGGGACCATCACCTGGGGTACCCTGTTCGGGTCCTGACCCACCTCTGGAGATGCCTCTGAAATGTCGATCCCTCATTTCCAGACCCTGGCGTCGGCGTAGATTCGGAGCCGGCGTTCGCCTGTCTCGACCCAGCAGCAACGGAAGTTACTGTATATAGATGTTTTTAGTCCCAATGGTTACAACACAATCTTATAAAATCATGTGCCCTAGGCCCTAGCCTTCAAAAAACCGTCAAAAGAATGGTTGACCTGGTTTTGTAGTGTCAAATCCTTAGTTCTTCGGTAAGAACTGTCAAATTAACGGTGCACCTGAGAGCCGCATAGGTGGAAGGAGTAAACGTTTTGGT